CGTATAGACTAAAGAGAATTTGCTAGAAACGATAAAGGAAACATTGTGGAGTGTCCAAGTTCAACGTAACACTGTACATGATGAATGATTGATGCTAATATTTGCTAGTCCCATGTTCAACAAGTATATACGTACGGCAAGCATCTTATCAACAATCCAAATAGAGATCCAAATACCATATTATCAATGTATTAAAAATAGAGATCCAGAAATTTATGAATGTTTGATGCTAATGATTCAACAAGTATATACGGCAAGCATCTTATCAACAATGTGGACATTTGCAGATTGAAAAACATATTTGAGATTTGAAACATATCCATATTTGACACACTATGTATTTCGGCTTAACCGAAAAACATAATAAGGCGAGGATCAATTATATTAAGGCACTGATCCAGTTGCCATGTTATTGATTTAATTGAAAATAAAGATCTATATTTCACCAAAATAAGTAAATAAATAAGGATCCAGAAGTTTATGAATGATTGATGCTAAATGATTCAAAAGTATTGACAAGAATCTTATCAACAATGTAGATATTTGCAGGTCTAAAAATAAAAAAATAATAATTGGAGATTTGAAACATATCCATATTTTTTACAGTATATATGTTTTTTTTTTCTTTTGTTTTTTTGGTACATGTTAAGAACTTTGAGGTCACCACCCTAAAAGCTAGCTCAAAGGGTGGGAGTGCCCAAGGCCTTATAAAAGCCACATTAGTTGCACATCTAACCAATGTGAGACTATATATCTCAACACGCCCCCTCACGCAAGAGTCCTTTGGGCTAGAAGCGTAGATTATGCACAGGCCCAATTTTTGGTTTACCTTTTGTGCTTTTTGTTTTTAATTCCACTTTAAAGTGGGGGACGGTGAGGCTCTGATACCATGTTAAGAACCTTGAGGTCACCACCTTAAAAGCTAGCTCAAAGGGTGGGAGTGCCCAAGGCCTTATAAATGCCACATTAGTTGCACATCTAACCAATGTGAGACTATATATCTCAACAGTACATGATAGTGATGATACAATACTTGAAAAGCATAATAAAATGAAGATATTGGCACATTGCCGTATTGGGTTGTATCTGATTTCAAACTTATTTTGTTCGAAATTATCTTTCGACTAATTACCCCCATGACAATTACATTAAAATATGTGATTATATTGTAAAAATAATTATGTGTTTTGTTAATAAACTTTTAACAAAACAATTTTGTATTTAACAGAAAATAATACTCAGCTTGTTATTTTTTTTTTTAACAAAAATGCTTTAGAAAAGAAGATTTAATTGTAGTATTGACATCAAACTATAATATTATTATGATAAACTTTTTTTGGTGACATATACTATATAATTGATAGACTTATAATGTAAATATTTACACTTTGGTTATGATGTTATAATTAAAAGTAAAATTAAAATAAAAAAAAGACAGAGTACAACATTTTTTTTTGTTACGCAGTTATTAGTCTACAAATTTACCTACTTTTATTATTCTTAATTTTAATTATAGTATTAAATATATAAATTTAAGAAAATATTTTAATTGAAATTACGTTTTATATAATTTCATCTTGGTTCGCTTTTTCTGCTGTCAATGTAGATAACTTATCTACATTGAGCCCAAAACGACGTCATTTTGAGACGGAAATCAAGGTATTTGTATAATTATAATTTATTTCAAAGTTATAATAGTCTTTTTTATTATAATTTTTTAATTTTTCAACCCAAAACGACGTCGTTTTGGGAGCGAATTTAGATAAATTATCTACATTCACTTTAGAAACATTAAAACCTTTTATCTTATATAATAATTTTTTTTGTCAAAATCAGATCATAAATATGTGCAAAATACTTTATCCCAAGAAATGTAAGTTTTTGACAAATTAATTATATTAGAATAAGGATAGTGTAAAGTGTAAACTACTTCTATGTAGTGCAAGCAAATTATCAAACAGAAGAATATATCTGCAGTTAATAAGTTATTTGTATTTATTCTCAAAATAATGTCATTTTGAGATTGAACGATTATAAAATTATAATTATAAAGACTTTAGTAATCCTGAAATAATTATAATTACAAAAATATCATAATTTCTGTCTCAAAATAATATCATATTAAATTTATTATAAATAACTTATCTATAATTACTGGAAAAAAAAAGTGATCAAATGTATAAAATGAGACGAAGTATTAGTTTTTCTTACATGTGATCCAAGTTTGACATTTGCATGTGAAATTGTACAGGCAACATCCCTTTCAAACATCTACATTAATGTTATCCAAAAAATAAATAAACATCTATCTTAATTGATATAGTACAGATGTATGTGTTTCAGAGGAAGTGGAAAATCGACAACGTATTCAACTAAATGACTGAAAACATTAAAATAAGTATTGAAACTATCTGGCAGATGTGATCTTTAATCAAGATTATCTGAAACCGTTTGAAAATAATCCTAACACATTTTTAATGACAAAAGTATTTATCATTTTAAATGAAATAATTTTATAAAAATCATAAAATATAAATTAAAATACAATAATTTTATTTAAAATGACACATAGTTGTATCTTTTAAAATAATAGATACTTTTCTTAAAATATTTTTACATTTAAATGTACATTGTTTATTGTTTTTACATTTAATCTCAAGGAGTTGATTTTGCACAATGTTAACATCTGGTTGATTTTAGCATTCATCTTGACATGGATCTGTAGTACCTTGTCTGGTCAAAACATGGGCACATTACATAGTGCTTGAAAGTTTCAGTTTGAAACGCTGTTCACATGAAAACCACATGTTCATTGTCCTGGTTATGGTTGCTTTGTTCTTTCTTGGATCTAACAACGCTCAATGACATGTTTGAGGGGTCTCTTTTTTAATAATTAATGGAGTAAACTTATCCCATTTGATTTAGATTCGTATTGAAAATATTAATATAATAACTTGAAGAATTTTTAAAATTAATATAAAAAGGGGTAAGTTTTAATGTTTTTGCATATATTACTTTATTCTTGAGGGAAAAAATTGTCAAGCAGCATTTACAAACAATCGGTATATTCTAAGGTATATTTCAACATTAAAACTTAGCTATGATTAAATCATGACAAATATTGCCAGCATTTCATATATGATCCAATTCAGTCAATCTCTTATCTCTTCCATGTAGGATTAGTTCAGTATTTATCTCATACGAACTCGTTATATTACTTTGATAATACGTTATAAATTAAATCGCATTATTTCCATTTTTTTTCTTTTTGCATAAATGGGTCGATAGATTCAAATACTATAATTTGATAGTTTCCTGAGAAAAAAAAAATTATTGAATCTCCCCCTTATAATTATTCTTTATAATTTTTCTTATAATATTAATCATATGATAGTAAAAATATAACGATTGATTTGATTTATAATTGATTAAGATTTGATTTGTATATTTCTTAATCTCAGAAATTATACTTTTATAATTAATGATTGTAAAGTTTAAATAATTAGAATAGATCTGTTATAATCAATTAGGATTTTGAATTATATATATTTCTATTATTAATGATTGTAAATCTTAAACAATTGGCAAAACGGACTAATTCCCCTTACGCGCCTTTAACTCTCAAAAAATGGGATAGGACGGGTTGTCCCGTCATCAGTGAGTTAGTTGAAAATTTCAATCCATCTCATTTTAAAACGGGTTGACGGGTTAACTCACCTATAAAATAAAATATTGGAAAAAAATAAACAAATATATTAATATTAATTATTTATTTTTAATCTATAACATCTAAATATTTCTCAAGTTTAAAACAAGCAAGCAATAAGCCAAAAACAAAAGAATGATTTAATATAAACACAAACAATGACTTAAAATGAATTGATAATTTTACTGTCATTATATAACAAAATAATGATATCAAGCATGTGACTATTTACAAATGAAGATATCGTTACATATTGTAACTAGAATTTCATAGCATTCTGTTTGATTTGTATAGATACTAATATTCAAATCCAAAAACATGCTCAATTTCTTTTTAATAATATTAAGAGTCTTAAAACTAATTCTGTTTTATTTATTTTTTGTTAAAAAAACAGAATGCTTATATTCCATGACTTAAAATTAATTAATAATTTCAGTGTTATTATATAACAAAATAATGACATCAAACATGTGACTATTTGCAAATGAACACATTATTGCATATTGGGCAAAAGCACCGTTGTACTAATATATAGAGAAAATATCTCTTGTTCAAAGCACACGTGGAAAGTATGACCATACTAGAGCAGTCAGTCACGTCAACTTTGTTGCCATATTCAGTCCTGTCAACATACCTGCTAGGACTCCTTTCCACGTCACCAATGTGGAGGTGCGGTGCCACGTGACAATTTATGTTGAGTCTTGGCAACAAATATGACAGGACTAGTCTTGGCAACTTATATGCCAGCACTAGTCTTCGTAAACGTTGTGCCAGCAGGAAGCCATTCGACGCGCCCCGCCTTGTCAAAAAATGAATCTCTGAAAAACGCGAAGAAAAAAGTAACATCGAATCCAAACCAGTTCACCCGTGAATAAAAAAGAGAATAATTATACTGACAAACGTGATGTTAAAACAGTAAACATACATGTGAATTTTGAATTGAGACATAGGAAACCGATATTTAGCAATATATATATACCCTCGCAGTTCCATTGCATTCTTCAGATTGGTGCAATATACGAAACCCACAACCAGTTTCATCTGTATTTTTTTACTCTGTGTGCATTTCATTATTTTCTTATTCTGAGTTTACATCTTAAGTTCTCTTTTGTTTGCATAAAAATATTATTGCAATGAATCAATTTCGTGCATTCGTATACTATAATGGTAGTAAAAGTATAGGTGCAGGTGGTTTAAGCTTTGAAGGGAAAAAAAGAGCAATGTATATTATCCGAGACATGTCAGTTGTGGATCTATATGTAAAGATCCGTCAGAAATTGATGCTGCAACAAAATCAGGTAATATCATCAGTTACAGGTAGAGTCCCCTGTGGAAACCGCAAATGGCAAATATGCGGGTATGGTCCTCCGAAAAGACGCATAAGATACGCACAAGTGTAAATAATCTGTCCTTGTTGAGTAGCTGAGTGCTCAACCCAATGAGCCCAATGACCGGTCAACCAACTCATCTTAAGATTCCCGCCCTCTAAATCAATTTCTCGTGGCATCAGACCCATGTACTGTTGGATTACATCCCGCCAGTTGCCATGCGTATACCCAGTAACTACTCGACCCTCAGTGGCCAAACCTAGAATGGCCTCTAAATCCTGTAAAGTAATAGTCATCTCTCTAACAGGCATGTGGAAGGTGTGAGTCTCTGGCCTCCACCTCTCAACCAATGCAGTAATAAGGTGATGGTCAATCTGCCAAATAAATGTATTATTACATGAAATAATAGGGTCAAATTTTATCGGTATTATTAAAAAATAAATGATTACATTTAAAGGGAATGTAAAACATACCGGCAATCGTCTCATGCGGACCGCGTGCAAAAAACCTGCACGCATCAGGTGCTGCTGTAAATCCAAAGGGATGCCATTTGGGTTGTGTGCATCTCTGTTGCCCCTACCTTCTGCGGCTCGCCTCACCCTCAGGGACTTCAAATGTCCCTCATTCCATACCACTTGGGATTTGTGTGACTGTTGCACAACTTCATCGAGTACGCCCACTCTTTCGGACCAGGGTCAATGCGGGGGTGCTGATCAGCCATGTAACTAAAAAAAAATACAAAAAAATTGGTAGTGTCTGACCTATATTAAAACAATAATGAATAAACTATTTGTTTTTTTAAACGTCTTTCTATCATAGCCTTTCTTTAGTTAACATTATAATGCATGTAAAAATATTAATATCTAATCATTTCTATATTAACTCATAATTCTGTTTACCAAAAAACAAAAATATGAATTTTTATAAATTATAATAATTATATTTAGCCTAAACACTAATTATAATTAATAAGTAATTATGTCATTACTAATTAAATTTTTTAGTAACTGGTTTTTCATCCTACGGTTAATATTTAATTAAAATAAAAATATATACTAATTATAATTGTCACATTATTATTTAATTACTACTTCATTATGGGGTTAGCATATTTACTATCATAGACTTTCTTTAATTATAATTTTTATTTACTTAAAACACTTATTAAAATTATTATTTAACTATTATTGCATTACTAATTAATTACTTAATTAACTACTTTTTATACTAAGGTACCCTAATTTATATCTGACATTTAATTATAACATTAATTATATATTAAGTACACTGTTTATTATTTACTATTTTAATTATTACTTTATATAATTTAATTTCTATTTTATAGTATAATTCTCGTTTAATTAAAAATAAATCAAATGACACTTTCACACCAAAGAAATTAGAAATTCTAAGACAATATTATGAAACTTTCAAACCATCGAAATGCATGTTAAGCTTCAATAGAACGAACTCAGGGTCCACTACCAATTTATTAATAAAAACTTTAACCTAGGGCTCTTATTGCATTCTACAATAAGATTTTTATTCCCATCAAATAATATAAAAACTAATAATACATTTAATAACAAATTTTAAATGGCAATTAAAATAAAAAAAAATAAAGCGAACATGGGTGCCCGTACCTGGCGTGGCTGCTGCAGTGAGGAGAAGAAGAGGCGGGCTTTTTAGAGAGAGGGAGGGAGGGGATTTTAGAGAGAGATCAAAAAATTTAGAGATGACGAAATCAGGGAAGAGGAGGAGGCCGACGATCTATGAAATGTGAGTGGGAAGAGGAGGAGGAAGAAATGGTGGAGTGGCGGAGGCCGGCGACGGCGAGAGGTGAGACGATGGTAAGAGGCGAGACGACGAAGAGGTAGAGTGAGACTCGTGGTGTTGGGTTAGGGATGAACGAGGGAAGATTTATTGGGTTGCACAAGTACTGGCACAATTGTTGCCAAGACTAGTGCTGCCATATTTATTGCCAAGACTCAACATAAATTGCCAGAATGGTGACGTGGAAAGGTGTCCTGGCAGGTATGTTGACAGGACTGAATATGGCAACAAGTTTGACGCGACTGAATGCTCTAGTATGGTCATACTTTCCACGTGTGCTTTGAACAGGAGATATTTTCTCTATATATTAGTACAACGGTGCTTTTGCCTTGCATATTGTAACTAAAATTTCATAAGCATTATGTTTGATATGTATAGATACCATAGTATCAGTATCTTACGATACATGATATGATTCATATGATACGATACGATTCACAAGCCCAACGATATGTATCATGAGATGTATCAGAAAGGGGTTTGTATCGAACGATACGATATTGTATCGAACGGTACGATACTGTATCCAACGGTACGATACTGTATCGAACAGTACAATACTGTATCCAACGGTACGATACTGTATCGAACAGTACAACACGTGAATCATATGATACAAAAAATAAATCAAAATTTGTAATTTTTAATATAAAAAAAGAAATAAAGATTTGATTTACGATTTAAATTAAAAAAACTAAAAGAATTCTTTTTGGACGAGGATGATAGATTAGTTATGTTGTTGATAGTAATATTTATAATAATATTAGTATTGAATTTATGAGTAGGAGAGTAACTGATTTGCACTTTAATTATTTATGTATTTTGCTTATTGATCCTTTTTGAAATTTGGATTTATAAGATATTAATTATATTATATATTTTTAAGTTATTTTTTATTATATTTCTGTATCTTACAATTCCATACTATTCACGATACAAAAAATCAGCCAAACGATATATGATACGTATTGTATAGATACCAATATTAAAATCAAAAAACATGCTCAATTCATATATACTAACCAAGTCATCATCTAACATTTAATAAATTTTTCAAAAAAAAAGTAACATGCGAGTTGACCCGCTCTTAACCTATTTTAACTCACCTACATGCAAAGCGGATTGTGATGAGTTGGCAGGTTCAAGTATACAATCTAACCCATCACGTTATGACAAGTTTGCTGGTTGACCCATCAAATTCATTTGACTTGCAACTCTATAAATAAACATAATCGGACTATTGAAGAATTAAAAAAAAAAGTATTTATCCTTTTAAATGATACAACTTATATTCTTTCACTCTCACAAAGAGGTGGAATCCGCACCTTTATTTTTTTTGTCAACTATCTTTCCTCTTTTATCTATCTCTTTCTCCCTCTTAAAATGACACAACTTTACATCCTTTAAAATGACACATAATTTTCTCTTGAAAAAATATACCGATATCAAATCACAAATCGCCGTTAATATATACAGTATGTTTTCTAATATCATGAATTGTAATTTTATATTTCTATAATCAATGATAAATACCCCATATTTTTATTAACTTTAACCTTATGCCTTTTAGTTAATTTGAGGAGCTCAAATTTTTAAGTTTCAAGGATGAAACTTCTTTTAAGGATGGTAGAATGTAATATCCCAAAAAAATAATAGTAATAAATTATAAACTAGTAGCAATAATAATAATGTGTCATAAATTGTGATTAATTGATTGATAAATTAATAATAGTAATAAATTATAAATTAGTAGTAATAATAATAATGTGTGATGATTGTGATTAGTTGATTGATCATTTATGCTTTAATGTTTGACTATGTGATTGGTAATGTTTGATTGGATTAGGATGAGCGAACAAACATAATTTGATTAGATATTATGAGTCAGCATTGAGTCAATCATGAGTCAGCCTTGAGTTAGCAAATAAGTTAGCTGTATTCTGAGCCATAAAGAAATTAAGAATAAAATAATGTATAAAGCCAAAATCTGAGCCAGATACATCAATAAAGAAAAAGGAAATAAATGCACGAAACCCATATCTGAGCCCAAAACTTCAACTATAAATAGAGGTCTAGCCTAACCAAACCAATTCACTTTTCAACATTTCTCCTCTACTATTCTTTCTTCTTAATTCAAAAACTTAGTTTAATTTATTTTATATTCTTCTGGTTACCAACCGGTTCTCTGCCCCAAATTACTATTTTCTTCTAGAAGTTAGCGAAAACGGAGACCAGGTAATCCTAATCCCTAGAGAGTCATAGGTTATATTGATATGAAGTTTGGTATATGTAATCCTAATCTCTAGGTGCTCTTACGTTCGTTTTATATTAAATTTAGATTAATTATATGAATATTATTGAGAACATCGTTGGGTTTAATTTTTAGGTTAATTATATTTTAATTATACAATTATTTATATTTAGTATTTGATCTGGAAATTATGATAATTTATTTGTAAATTGTACTCTTGGATAATTGATTTAGAATTGTACTCTTGAATATTTGAAATTATAATTATGATATTCTTGAAAATTTGAATTTGGAAATTATATTTTTGATTAAATTGATATGTATATTATACTTGAGGAAATTTTTCAATTATGAGAATTGTTACATGATTGGATTGATTGTGTGTGATTGAAATAAATTAATAGTGGGAAGATAGCTTTGGGATGGTACCTCACAAAGTGATGAACACAACTTTTGGGCTTTATGCCTCCGATGTGAAACTGATGTGAAAAAGATTATATCTGTTCTTTCCAAAGTGGTGTCTGGCAGGGTTTTCCAGGATACTAGTATCAACTTTGGGAAGATGTGTGCACACTAGGAAGATGTGAATTGATTATGGCCAATGTGATTTGTTTGTGGCTGGCAGGGTTTCCCGGGTCACAAGGTAGACTAGCAGGATTTCCCGGATCTACCATGGTTCTCTTCCCACTAAATATAATGAACTTAAACATTATTAATAATGAAATTTGTTATTTGATTTGACTATGAAGAATGTCATTGAGTTGTGAATATTATCATATTATGATTAATGTTGTGCTAAATATGTTAGTTGATAATTACCAAATACATTAAATGAACTTAATAAAGATAAATATTATATAATGGAATTTTGATTATTATATTGATATTTGATTTGATTAAAGTGGAATTGATTTGAACACTATTATTATAATTGTAAAAAAAAAAGAATTTTGACAATTTATTTATTATAAGATTATTTTATAAATTGTTAGAAATTTGAGGTGTTACAGTAAATCTCAAATAAATATAATAGTGCTGCTGAAGAATTAAAAAAAAAACATTTATAAATTGTAGTTAATATATACTGATATGAATTCACAAATCCCAGTTAATAAGTTCCTGTTGATATGATTGAATTTCACTTAATTTTTCTAGAAATATAATTAAGTTACATCAATTTTAAATCTTAACATCTTTTACTTTAATAAAAAAATAAAAAAATGAGTGAAAATTATTCAAGAAAGTAACTAATAAAAGAAATTAGAAAGGCAGCAATACCACCAAAATGTTTAATCAAGTGATAAAAGTAATGAATTAAGGTAACCAATTGGGCATGGAATAGAAAAAGAAGAAGATACCCTTGGACTTGTGCTAGTAAACTAGCGAAGACCTCCTTCTGTTTATTTAATCCCAACAACATGCAGGTTATAAAGTGAAAATTATTACTAATTATCACAAACCTGCAACAAAAAACAAAAATGGGACCCACTGCCAGCATAAGCATTTCAGTAGCAATCTGTAATTAATTATACAATAATGTACGGCTAAGATTTCGTTAGGTGGCTTCAACGTCAAAAGACAGAACCGATATGCATAACAATAAACTGCTAAGCTTTCTTTAGTTCTGTCCTCGTGAATGTTCACGTTCTGAGTTCACAGAGTAAGAGAGAGAGAGAGAGAGAGAGCAAAAAAAAAAAAAAAAGTGTATAAGAACCTTGAGTGTCAGCTATCAGATACACAGAGAGTGTGTAAGAAACCAAAGTACGTAGCAACTTGTTTCTTTTCTCTGTGCTCCCTTTTCCTTAGTTTTCAGATTGTTTCTTTAGAAACCAAAAAAGAAAAAAAGTAACCTCAAAAAGTGCTACTTATGTCATGTAATTTCTTATTCTGAAGAACACCCTTTTGGTTTTCCTTTTTTTTTTTTTTGTTTTTTCTTGTGTTGTTTTAAACACGGTGAAAATGAATGCACAGAAGTAATACTTGGTTCTTTACTCCAAGAAAATTCTACCAATAATATTCATGTATGTATCTACATTGAGAGCTTAGAATATTATTTATATGGAAAGTTTCCAAATTTAAACGCATTTTATGTCGTCAATATCATGCCCGCGTGCAATTTCCATTTTTGGTTCTAAATGAAAAGATATGATGTAAAATTAGAATAAATATCTCCTTCAATTTTGCTTCTGATCCGTGATGTTTTGTAATTCTGGGTCGTTTTGTTTATATAGTAGTCTTGTGAAGGTGAATTTCTGAAGAGATAGTAGAGTATTTTTGAAAGGGGAGGGAGATAAAACTTGGAAGGAAGATGAATAATTCTGTTTCAGATAACAGTTTTATTATTGAGAGTGATGAAGAAGATGAGAAGGATTTGAACAGAGGTCAAGATGATGGTCATGATTCTGATTCTTCCAATTACTCAAATGACAATCCTCCACAGAGAAAACCCAGTTCTTACAACATCTCATGGCCTCAGAGTTACAGGTCAGCTCCTTCTATCCCTTTGTTTCAATTCCATTGGATTTGTGATTTTCTTCTGTCTTTCATGGTTGGGTGTGTGTATGTGCGTGCTCGCGTCACTTTATGTGCCTTTTTTTTTTTTGTTTCTGGAAGTGTCAAGGGAATCATCTGATTTCTGACAAAAGAAAAAAAAAGTTAATTTTCTTTTCTTTTCTTCACTTTTTATTATGATAATTGGAAAGTGATTTTGCTTTTTTTGGGTGAACGTAAATTTTTTTTATGCTTTTCTGATTAGTTTCACCTAATGAAGAAAAGAGAATACACCTTGTGTGTTTTGACATAGTCAAGAATCCAAGACCAAAAAGTTGAAAATTTTACAAACCATTTTTTTCCCATCTTTTTTTTTTTAGTGGCTGAACAAATTAAGGTCAGTGTCTTCTAAGTCAAGTGCATCAACTGAATACTAATGCCCTTGTGATTGATGTTTCAGGCAGTCTATTGATCTATACAGTAGTGTACCATCACCAAATATTGGATTTCTGGGCACTCCCACATTGTCCAGATTAAGTAGTTCCTTTCTTTCATCATCTCTGACAAGGAGGCACACTCCTGAAATACTTCCTTCAGTGACAAAACCTCTGTTACAACCACCAGAAGAAGAGCATCAGAGACGTAGCTCCCATGCCTTGCTTCCTCCTCTTCCTTCTAGGAGGTCTTCTATGCTTAAGAAGGATTCCAAGGTTTCTCATGAAATTCCTTCTAGGCAATGCTCTTTTGGACAAGCTGTTCTTAATGGTGAGTAGTTGAACCTTGGCTTGCTATACACTCTTACCTGTATGTGAAACTTAAGATATGTTGATAGGAGAACATGCATATTTATGTAATGACAGCTTGATGTGACACCTATGCAATGCATAAAACCATAAAACATGCAGCCCATCGTGTATGCCTTATGCTTATTTTGGATTTTGCAGGCATAAATGTACTTTGTGGTGTAGGAATCCTTTCTACCCCTTATGCTGCCAAACAAGGTGGATGGCTTGGGCTTTCGATCTTGTTCATTTTTGCAGTTATTTCATTTTATACTGGGATGCTCTTGCGTTCTTGCTTGGACAGTGAACCTGGCCTTGAGACATACCCTGACATTGGCCAAGCTGCATTTGGTACTACAGGACGTATTGCCATTTCAGTGAGTCTTCCTGCTGATCTCTACTCTTATTTGAGTTTTTCTTGAACAGTGGTAAAACTGTTCCTTTGTGATTGAAAAATCACGAATCCGAATCCATGAAATAGTCTCTTTGCAATATGCAAGGATAAGGTTACAAGGATTCCACCCCCTACTTTTGCTAGTTAGGATTAAATGGGTAGTGGTTTAATTTAGGGGGATGCTATGTTAATTGAAAATCAGTAGTCTCTGATCTCTTTCTCATGCTTTCTCCTTCTTCTTTTTTGTGGATGCAGATAGTATTGTATGTGGAGTTATATGTAAGTACTCCTTCCTTCACTCGGTGAGAATTTCATTTGGAGTCACTCATTGTAATTTATTATAGCAAAATAATATAATGATGAAATTCTGAGTGGCTACCTATTTGGATTCCACAGTTGCATCTGATTGGTTAACCTCCTCTTTTGACATGTCTAGATCTCATCAACAGTTACTTTTACAAGCATTTGGTTTTCCATCTGGCATATGATAAGTTCCACTGTGCTGTTAGCCTTTTTCATATGTTTGGAAGTCTCCCATCAGCTATATATAGCCACATGCATGTCATTGGGATTGCTTATTCGTGTTTTAATTTGTTCAAGTAGTCCTGCATGATTTATTCTGCAGTCCTACAATTTAATAACATGTTTTGAGACTAAATTTTCTCTACTTCACTACGATGCTTTGTTGATTAAAACTATGTTGTTATGCTGATACTAGGTACTGGTGGATCATACAACTTACCATCAGTTCTTTTGAGGGTTTTTTATTTTATAGCAATTGCTTTGCCTATTAAATATTCCTTCATGCAGGCTTGTTGCATTGAATATTTAATTTTGGAGGGCGACAACTTGTCTTCCTTATTTCCAAATGCATACTTAAGTTTTGGAGGAATTGAATTGAGTTCACATACTCTCTTTGCTGTGGTTGCCACCTTGGCTGTTCTTCCTACTGTTTGGCTCCGTGACCTAAGTATTCTCAGTTACATCTCAGGTAAAGCTTATTTTTGTGCAAGTAATGAGTGGCTATATCCTTTCTCTGATAAAAGTTAAACCTTGGTCTCATTTACCTTTGGTCCTAATGTCATTTCCCAAATATGGTTTTATCGTACTTCATGGTATCCTTTTCTGCCATCTTTTATTCAATCAATTTTTGAGAGGTTACTTTGGTTGTTTGGAGGGTAATATTTCATAAAAGGGTTTAGTGAATGTCATTTAAAAGGACACAAGTTGTGTCCTTTTAGTGACTTACACAGAGTCTGACCAGTCATATTGTATGTAAATCTGAAAAGTTATTTTTTTTTCACTGTACACATCAGCGATGTAATTGGGAAGAGAGAAAAAAAAATAACTTTTCAGATTTACACAAAGTTTGACCGGTCAGACTTTGTGTAAATTGGCTAAAAGGACACAATACTTCTTTTTTCCTTCATAAAATCACATAAATATTGTACAGCTTTTGAAGGTTGCATAAATCAAATCTATAAATTTCACTCTGGCATCTAACATGCCGAGAAGTATTATTAACTCATTCATAGCTATTTACTCATTTGCCGTGAATTTGCATTTTGTTTTGGCAGTCAGCAGTCACATATTGCAGTATTATTATTTGGAAAGCTTATTATAACCATTTACCTTGTTCATTATAGCTGGTGGAGTTGTTGCATCAGTTTTGGTGGTTCTCTGCTTGTTTTGGATTGGCGTAGAGGATGTTGGCTTTCATAGCCAAGGGACAACACTCAATCTTGGAACTCTTCCTGTTGCTGTGGGTCTTTATGGTTACTGCTACTCTGGACATGCTGTGTTCCCAAACATTTATACATCCATGGCAAATCGAAACCAATTCCCTATAGTACTCTTAGTATGGTAAACCAATGATAACTTTTAGCCATAGTTTGTAATTCTGCTACCACTAATCCTTTCACTAGATATTAGATCCTCAAGTCTTATACAGATTGCAATTTATATATTATAAAAAATATGCAAATCATCTAGCAGTTAGGCATGAATGCCTCTAGATGTGGAATATATGATGTTGCATAAGATTTTTATTTTCTTCAGTGGATATTCTCTCTCTGAATCCATCTAATAAAATGTCTGATTTTTTCTTTTTGTCACAGTTTTGGTATTTGTACATTGCTGTATGCCGGAGCTGCTGTTATGGGATACACAATGTTTGGAGAAGCTATTCTCTCTCAGTTCACTCTTAACCTGCCCCAAGATTTGGTGGCCAGCAAGATTGCTGTCTGGACTACGGTATACTCATTCTACATTCTATTGCAGATCTTTAACTCACTATCAGTACATTATTAATATCCTATTAACTATATAATTTGTTAACACTTATCTGTTACTTTTATTTTCGCAGGTGGTTAATCCGTTTACCAAATATCCTTTATATACTCCATATGAATACATATGTGCATGCATATTTACATATACTATTTAAAAAAAAAAAAAGGCTCACCCTCATCATGCTTAACTTATATTGTAGAAAAATTTATAAAACCTGATAAAAGACTTGGACTCTCTGCCTTGTACTCTTTTTCATGTACAAACATCCTAACACGCCCTTCAAATATCTTGCATTCTCTTCATTGAGTACTCTTACACTGAAAATGAAGAAAAATGTATTTTCTTAATTAGCATCACGTATGCGTTGACTATATCTCCTGTGGCAATGAGTCTTGAGGAGTTGATACCATCAAACCATGCCAAGTCTTACCTATATGCCATCTTCATCAGAACTGGGCTTGTAGTTTCTACCCTCATTATTGGTCTCTCAGTTCCATTTTTTGGTTAGTATTTCTACTTCCTATCCTCATGTGCTTCTTGATTGTTGATTAATTTTACTACCAAGGGAACATTCTCTTCAATATTATTTCTTCACTAAATCTTAAAACTATGTATAGACCAACATATAAAAGGAAAATGTGATTGGGATTAATTGCATTACTTTTATACTTGGGAAAATCATTGTACTGTGACACAGTTGCACTATGTTATACTAATAGCTTATCTACTTTTTGTGCAGGTCTGGTGATGTCATTGATTGGATCATTACTTACAATGCTTGTTGTAAGTTTCCTTCAGTTTATTTGATCTTGCTCCTAGAGTTACTGACCCATAGCATTTTACTAATTAAAATTAACCTTGATGACAGACTTTAATACTACCCTGTGTTTGTTTCCTAAGAATCCTTAGAGGCAGAGTCACACGATTACAGGTATGATGATTGCACACTTGATAATAGTACTCAATGTGACAGTCTTGATCAGCAATTTAGCATGTCTGGATGAATGTGAACACTTTGAAACCATTATTAAATATGACTTAAAGAATACAAATGAAAATGAATTTTGAATAGAAACATACTATATTACAATGCTAGAAGAAATGTCATCAGATATTTTTTACACAACTTATTCATTTCAAACATTACTTGTATAGTTATGATCAACTCTCTTGTAACCCTACTTTTGTTTCATGTAATCTACAGGCAACACTTTGCATTACAATTATCACGGTAGGTGTTGTATGTGCTGTTTTTGGAACATACTCAGCTCTCTCCGAGATTGTGAAGAGTTTGATTGGATGAAGTTTTGTGCCTTAAACCGTGGAAGAGTAGATATGTTTGCTATTATGGAGCATGTTCAATTATTCTACCTATTTTGATTGTTCATCCCCAATTTTGAGTCCATTTTTCGCTTGCCGTGGCTTCCCCATTCTGTTACTATTAATTGTGGGTATTCTGGTTCCTAGTTACCTTATCGTAAAAAGTTTTGCACACATTTGAAGTTTCGAGAATGGTAAATTGGTAATCATAGATTGTCTATGAGGAACAGTTGAGATTTAAAGGAGAGATTAAATGAATTTATTGAAGAGGATTTTTATTTATTTATTTATTTATATTTGAATTGAAATGTCTAATCCAATCTTTTGGTAAAGGATCTCCTTGACCATTTCATGCAGCAATATTGTGTGATTGAAAGCATATATGGTGTAGTTTATACATATAAAGTATAGTCTGATTCGAATACTGTCTTTGTGCTTGAATTTGAGACTTTTAATTAAGGGAGACAATCTCCTTGTCACTTGAAATAACGATTGTTGATAGCGCGCATAATTGTTACTTCTTGTTCTTCACAATTTGTGGAGAACAAAGGCATGGTTGAATGAATTAGAATCTCACACATTGAGATGTTGTGAAGCTAGTTATAACACATTAATTTCACTGACAATGGTCTCTTCATCTCAATTTCTAATCATAAATGCTCAAGACTCTGGATTTTATGATTCTGTGAAGTAGCATAGTTAACATTAACTTTATCAGCAGACACCTAGTCAACATTTGTCATACCACCTAAAAAGCAAACTACTTATAGTCACTTTCTATCTATTTGTTCAACATTGGAGTATGTGACAAAAAGTGTGAGCAAGTATTACTTTCCATTAAGAATGTAGAGAGGGTGACAAAAGTCTATGGTTCCACTAATGTTAGTACTCTCTTATTAATTGCTCTTTTATTTGTCACTATCACGGTTAAACTTCTATAATACTTTTACCCTAGAATCAGATAACGTCCCATTCTCCTAAACTTCATTTCCTACCAAAATGCATAAAAAATGACATTACTTAAAAAAAAATAAAAAAATCCTAGGAGACAAGTGCACTAAAATAATGTTTTCATAATTTTCTTCATAAAAATAAATTAATTTTTATTTTTATTTTTCAATAGTGTCTTTATCCATTTAGATGAGATTAATTTCTTTGTCACTCGTTCCATACCTTGTAAATTGAATCGTAATATTCCATCACGCTTCACAGCTCTAACGCCTATGCGAACTAGCTTTGCACTAATTTTTTAGTAGCCTCGGACGTACACTGCAATGTCAGTGCCATCACCCACGCTGCTCGATTGTAACCAGAAAACATAATGAGAGGCTCTATCTAATATTTTTATAATTATTTATAAAACAAACATGTATCATACCTTCACTAATGGGTAATTATTTCTGAATTTCACTATAATTACACATCTTCACTTTAAGTGTATTTTTTACCTTGATTTCATATTGGCTTGAGTATCAGAATCAGATAATATTGTGTTAACGGAACATTATGAGAATCACAATAAAAACAAAAGGCATTCTAAAGGTGCAATTAATAATTTTGAGTTTTCCAATGCATAGGTTGTTCATGTAGAGATAACAACTAATAATAAGGAAAAAGGCAAAGGCATAGAACAATGACACGACACCAATACAAAGCAAAAGCCCATTAAATATGGTGTCATGAAACGGGCCCAGGCCCACGCAAAAATCCCCTTTTTCTCAAAATTCTTCTTTTTTAGGATTTCGAACAGAAACCAAAGATTTTCAGCTTCCTCATCCTCAACTCCATTCATTACGGTAACTTTGATTGCTCTTTCTTTCCTCGATCTCTGCAATATTTTTCTTTCAATTCCTGGTTTATTTTTTGACGTGATTCATGTTGAAATGTGCAAAATTTATGGGTTGATATGCGTGTGGATTATTGGAAGTGGTTGTCATGTATTAATTCGATAATGGGTTTCTATATTTCGGTTTCAGAAAGGATCGGGTATTGTTTGTATCGATGTGGAGGTTCCTTTTGAGCTGTTGAGTCTAAGGTATGGCGATTTTATTTTATTTTTCAGTTTTGGTTATTGTTTTCCCTTGTAATTGAAATTTCATTGTTGATTTGTGCTCTGTCCTATCTGTGGGTAAAAGGAAGAAAGAAAATAGTAGAGATTGTGTTTGATGTAATTTGGAGGATATGGTGAAAGAGAGGGAACCATGATATTGTTATCTTATGTTTTGTATGGTTTCCTATGATTTCATAGCAACGAGAAAGTGGGTCGAGGTGTGGGCGGCTTTTTTTTTTTTTTTAAATCCCCTTTTTTTTATAAAAAATATATATATATATATATATATAGTTTGTTCAACTTTTATGGATTGTGTTTTGGTGGCATTCCTAGGTGACTTCTAGTTTGGAGTTGGAGATGGACAGTGGGAGTAAGGTAGATGTGCAAGCTTTAGATGGGGGTTTGCAGCCTTTGCCAAATGGGACTATTGAAGACAACTTGCAAAGTGAGCTGGAAAAGATACTGCAAGAGCAGCGCAATCAGCAGTTTATCAATCGAGAAAGGGATTTCAATATTTATAGAAGTGGAAGTGCACCTCCAACCGTGGAGGGATCTCTAAGTGCTGTTGGTAGTCTAAGGAACTCTGATTTCGGAGTGCTCAATAGTAGGGGGAATAATAATAATGGATTTTTGACTGAAGATGAGATTCGATCACATCCTGCATATCTTTCTTATTATTACTCACATGAGAGTATAAATCCTAGATTACCTCCACCGTTGTTGTCAAAAGAAGATTGGCGTGTTGCACAAAGGTTTCAAGCTGGCGCATCTTCTTCAATTAAGGGATTTGGGGACTGGAGGAAGAATGTGACCACAAATGGTGATAGCTCATCACTATTTTCAATGCAGCCAGGATTTTCTGTGCAACAGGCAGAGAATGATTTGATGGAACTGAGGAAAGCTAGTGGACGAAATCTCGCTAGGCAGAGTTCAATTCAGTTGCTTGACAGACATATGGATGGTTTTGCAAGAATGTCAGGAGCTGGTCTTGGTTCAAGGAGGACGTGTTTTGGTGACATTCTTCAGGTAATTAATTTATCCTGGTTGCATGTGTGGTATCTTTAGTTATAGATGAGACATTTTCCGTGCACAATCAACTGTGAGGTGTTATTTTTTCTTTACAACCTCATTTTGACATGAGGCAGATGGTAAAAGTTGATTTCATAATCAGTTTTTCGGAATCATCTAATATTTACAAGTTGTTGGCATGTAATGATTGTTAAAGAAGCTTGGGTGTATATTATGAAATACAGGTGCTTTGATCTGGCAGTTTAAGCCAAATTCTTCTGTCAATATTCCATTGCATACAGGGGATGTCTGACCTTACATACAGTACAATGAATTTAATGCAGTAGACATTTTCTTCTCATGGAAGAAAAAAGCAATCTTAAAAGGTTCTTTATATTGTTTGTGCCTGTTTGGCATGTCTTATTTTTAGCTTATCTTCTCCTTAGAAGCAGAAGCTTAACCAAACATAATTTTATAAAAGCTCTTATTATAAAAAGAGTTTTTATTTATTTATTTATTTTATAATGAAGAAAAAAGCCAAAAGCTAAAAGCTCCCAAGAGGATCTTTTTTTTAAGATGTATGCTAGCTTTTCGGAGTCCTCATATTTATTTTACAGTTTTATCCTTATTCTAAACTTGTATTTATAAATTTTATCCTTTACCCTAATAATCCATCCTAATAACAAATTATTTCATCTTCCCTCCTTCAAAACTATCAAAACAACTTTACATGACCACCAAGCAGCTTTTAGCTTTATTTTTTAAGCTCTTTTTTTTTTTTTTTTTAACTTTAGCTTAAAAGTAGCTTTGAGCTTTAAAAAAATATGTGCCAAACAGACTCTTTATATGAGCAAAGAAGCATACTAAAGTGATAGATTGTCTCTCTTTAAAAGTTAATTTATGAATTTTTATATTTATTTAGCTTCATAATTTAGCTCTTAAGTATTTGGCTTTTATCTGTTTGAGGGAAAATTTGTCTTGACTGATCTATTTGTTCTTTTTGAATCCTATCAAGCATACAATTGAATGTTGGGTAACATCCTTTTATCTGTAAAGTGGAAAAGCTTTTGCCTAATGATGGTTAAAGTTTTGCTGTCTAGGAACAATCTATTACGTATTTCTAATCGTAGTTAAAGATGATTCAGTTAGTTTCTGTTTAGCAGGGCTATAATAATTTATAATTTTCTCATATAGATTAATTAGGACATCAGTGTAGTTTAGAGGCACAAGCTGATTTCCATTCATCATATATGCAGTATACTAACAGTCAAAGAAGATAGAAAATAACGGTTGAAATAGTAGCTATATCAAATTATGTTGAACTAGTGTCATCAAATACATCTATTGTGTTGTTGATTTCATCCTTGTCCTTCAATCGCAACATTAACCATAGCCATCCAATCACTTTATATAATTTAAGTAAATGAACTTACAGAACATGTCCTACTAATTTTTTTATCCTGTTCTATCATTCACATTCTGTTAAACTTATAACCAAAGTTAGCGTTTTAGCAGGAAGGACTTGATCAACCTGCTTCCCTCTCTAGCAATATGTCACGGCCCGCAAGTCACAATGCATTTGGTGATATCATGGACTCAACTGGTATGGTTGATCGTGAGTCCTTGGAGGGCTTGCGTTCTTCAGCTTCTACTCCTGGTTTGGTCGGGCTTCAGAACCATGGTGTAAATGTTTCTCATAGTTTTGCATCTGCTGTGGGTTCTTCTCGGTCAAGGGTGGCAACCCCTGAACTGCAGGTTATTGGGAGATCTGTTGGGTCTGCAGTTCCTCAAATGGATAATAAAGTTTTTTCTGTTGAGAAAAGTGGTATTGGCTTGGGCACCCAGAACGGTCACTCTTCCAATATGAACGATCTTACTGCTATGGTGTCTTCTCTATCAGGGTTAAATTTGTCAAGTGCTAGACATGCAGAGCAAGATAGTCTTTTGAAATCTAAGCTACATATGGAAGTCGATAATCATCCTGATGTTCTGTTAAGCACACCAAGCAATGTTAATTTGCCCAGACATAATGAGATTGTAACAAACCTTAACACATTTAGTTCAAATGAGCAAGTCAATCTACTGAAAAAAACTGCTTCTTCTGCTAGTCTTTGCTCAAAAGTGCATTCTATGGGAAATGTAGCGAATTTGCCAAGCATCAACCTTGCTGGCCATGTTCCTGGTGCATATCCTGTAAACTCAAAATTGAATACTGTTTATAATAATCATCTCGAGACAGGTCTCTCTCTCACTCTCTCTGACTGACTCCTTTCTATGTGTGTTTTTTTATGAATTAGTTTAAGCTCAGTGAAGTTTAGCCTTAAGAGTTTGCTCTAACAGTTTGGTTCTTCGATTCCAGCTTTGAGGGGTCGCAGAGATGGACAAAGTTTAGATGAACTAGGAAATCAAGTTATTCCTGAACTTCATTCCACAACTCTGGACCCACGGTTCATCCAATGCTTGCAGCAAAGTTCTGATTACTCAATGCATGGGATGAGTAGTTCTGGTGATCCCTTTCAAATGAGAAATTTCTCTGACACTTCGCATGGAAACTTAGAGGGACTTCGGAAAGCATATCTTGAGACACTTCTTACTCAACAAAAGCAACAATATGAACTCCCACTTCTGAGCAAATCTGGGCTTCTTAATCAGGGGTATCTTGGGAGTCAGCCATATGGTCTTGGCATGCCATATTCAGGAAAGCAGATTACAAATTCCCCCCTCCCTTCTCTTGGATCTGGAAATCCACTGTTTGAGAATGAACGTATATTACGCTTAAATTCTATGATGAGAAGTTCAATGGGAGGTTCTGGCGGCTCATGGCATGCTGATAGTGGCAATAACATGGAGGCAAGATTTGCTTCATCCTTACTAGATGAGTTTAAGAACAACAAGGCCAGACCTTTTGAACTTTCAGATATCATTGATAATGTGGTTCAATTCAGGTATGAATCTTGCACGTCAACTGTTGTTTCTTGTGACATGGCTCTGGAAGTCTGAATTGATAATCTGTACCATAATGCAGTACTGATCAGTATGGTAGCCGCTTTATTCAGCAGAAATTAGAAACAGCTTCAGTAGAAGAGAAGACCAAGATATTTCCTGAGATCATTCCTCATGCCCGTGCCTTGATGACTGATGTCTTTGGAAATTATGTGATACAGAAAGTATGATTAGCATCTGTTACTGAACACTGAGAACTGTAAAAAATATGCTCTTTTTATTTGGTTATTGATTTTTGAATTTCATGCTTGACTTTGTACTATTGCAGTTTTTTGAGCATGGTACAGCGAGTCAACGAAAGGAATTAGCTGGACAACTTACAGGTCATGTTTTACCTCTTAGTCTGCAAATGTATGGTTGCAGAGTGATTCAGAAGGTGCCTTTCAAGCCTTTTAGTCTCCTATTAGTCCCTTATTCATAGGCATTAACTTGTGCCTGACTCTAAAAATCTCATTTCTTCAATGTCTTGAATAAGGTCTTATTTCCCCTAGTCAAACCTTAGTGCTCTGTTTATAGGTACAGGTTACCTCTTTTTGGCATATCCATCATGAATTTTTGCTCAATTCTTTTTCAAACTGATGCATGCTTACTTTAGTATTAAGTAAATAATGGAATACTTGAGATATTGTTGTGTATGATTTTCCACTTTCTGCAGTATTGAAATTTGTCTGTCTGTTTTTTCATATTGTCTAGTGGTACCTCTTCAAACATATAAGGTTAATCATCCTCTAGGAAGCACGGACACTCCAAAAAACAGGGAGTGTTGTGTTTGACACGCTCTGACCCGTCGACACGTTCTGACACGGTGTCCGACACGCGGTCAACATTCTCGACACATTGGCCATTTCGACACGCGAATTTGACCGTGTCCGACACAGTCAAATGGCATTTTTTGTAAAAATATTATTTTTTAAATTAAAATATATTAATGAAGCTTTCACCTGATCATATCAATTATTTTTTTTGCCTTTTTATATCATCTCAGCACCATCGTTGTCATTCTTGTTACACTCTTGTTGTGTCTCTCTGATCTCTCTAATCTGATTTGATCTCTCTCCCCCATCTCAGTTCCTGTTTTTTTATTAAAGCTTCCACCTTTATAACGTGTTGATGAGTATTATTAATTTAGTTTCATTTTTTTGTTAACTTATTGAATATTAAATGAAATATACATTATATAAATTAAAAATATTATTTAATATTAAAACGTGTCTCAACGTGTCGAAATCCATATTTTTTTAGAATTGACGTGTCGGAGTATCGTGTCATGTCACGTGTCGCGTCAGTGCTACATAGATCATCCTTAGGTATATAGTCATTAGGATTCAAACACGAATCGGATTTAGTTCTTATTTGGTTTACAGTGAATATTGACAAATACTCATTGTTGGAAGGTTAAACTTCAAAGGAACTGGCCTCCCCTCCCCCCACCCGAAAAAAAAAAACTCTTTATTATTTGTTTTTAGGTAAGATGAAAAATGAATGCATTATTTCAAATCTTAGCTAAATTTATTCACAGGCCTTGGAGGTGGTTGATGTGGATCAGCAGACTCAACTGGTGTCAGAGCTCGATGGCGCAGTAATGAAATGCATACGCGATCAAAATGGAAACCATGTTATTCAGAAGTGTATAGAGTGTGTTCCTCAAGATAGAATTCAATTTATTGTCTCATCTTTTTATGGGCAAGTTGTTGCACTTTCTACTCATCCTTATGGATGCAGAGTAATTCAGGTTAGACCATTGAACATGGTATTCATTTTCTGTTGAGGTAGTGATGAGTTTTTTTTTCTTTTAGCACTTTATTTAACTGTTAACAGTTTGCATGGATGCTAACAGAGGGTTCTAGAACATTGTGATGATCTAAATACACAACAAATTATGATGGCTGAAATCATGCAATCTGTCTGCACTTTAGCACAGGATCAATATGGAAATTATGTTATTCAGGTATGTAGCATTCAGTATATGAATTTGTTTCATTTAGATGATAGGAAATGCACATCAGCACTAGAGGTGCAGATTTTCTGCTCTGCACTTCTGCACTTATACCCACACTTGTAATATGCATTATAGGTTGGTGACTTCGGTTGTTTTTTGATTTTAGAAGAGAGCAAAGTTCTTGTTCGTAATTTGACAAAGATATTTTTCTGCTTCTGTCTTGGTCTTAGGCTCTTAGCCATTTGTTGGTCATCCCTGACTCCTTGTTAAGAATGAAAGACTGAAATCTGAAGTAGTCATCTTCTAACAAAATTGTTGGATGTATGCTGCTTCAGTTATTTGACCAGAAAATAGCGTTTTAGATCTCATGCACAATGTTTAAACTCTGTTAATGTGGCTTTTCTTTATTATCATATCATTTTATGTCGAAAAGGTCCATATGCCTTTGGCATGTTCATATTTCCCAAAATTAAATGAATATACTGTTAAGTAAGCTAGTAATTAGACATTTATTGCGCTTATATATTCCGCCACTTGCCACTGTTATTCCTGTTTCATATTTTTGTCTAAGTTAATGTATAGAGGTTTCATTATCAAGTGATACAGAACTAGTATTAGAGTCTTGGCCAATGTTGACATGCTAATATTATTGTGATAATTTGATTGAAAGTTTGGGTTTCATCTTCTTGTCCTGATTTTTTAGCTGCAATAACAGATTGGGTTTTGAGATGACTTGCTTTTGTTTTGTTAGTTATCACTTGTGATACATAAAACTTTTTTCCCCTTTTTTTAAATAAATGTTGATTTCTTATTGATTTATGCTCATTTGATTATGAGTGCTGTATCATAGCATATCTTATCTACATTATGTTTATTATTGTTTTCTAATTCCTTTTTCACATCTATAATATACTCTTCTTTGGTAGCATATACTGGAACATGGTAAACCACACGAACGGACTGCTGTTATCAGCAAGCTAGCTGGACAAATTGTTAAGATGAGCCAGCAAAAATTTGCTTCTAATGTTATCGAGAAGTGCTTGGCTTTCGGTTCTCCTGAAGAACGTCAGATTTTGGTGAATGAAATGCTTGGTACCTCTGATGAGAATGAGCCCTTACAAGTATGGCCCCTTTCATCTCTTATTGTTCAAAATTTCAGTTTTTCTGAGGCTGAAGATCTCGTCACTTAATTTAGTGTAGGATGAGATTAGTGTGTAACTTGTATTATTATACGATCATAGTTGAAAAATCTGTTCACGTGTGTTCACTTTTTTTTTTACTGAATATTTTCCTGATAAATGAAAATTAATTAATATATTAACCTATATATGGAAATTTTGGTAAGTATTTTTGTTGTTTATCCTATGTACTTTTAATATGCACTCCACGTATTCTTTTTTGGAAACTTTTTGGGTTAGTTGGATTCAGATGCTTCTGCTCTTGGTAGAATCGCAGTTGAGACCCAGATAAAATGGTTGGGAGCTTCAGTTATCTGGCAAAAAAATGAGGCAGCAGCAGTGTTGATGGAGGTTCTCCACTGGATGTCTATGCCACACAATTAACTCTTTAGGATCTAAATATTTAGCCACTTTTTATTCATTTATTTACTCTCATAGTTTTTAAATTTAATTTTTAAATCGATACCAAAGATAGCCTAAAGACAGAAAAGAAAGAAAACATCAAGCCTAAAATCCCCCCTGCCTAAAGAAGTTAATATAATATCATGTGGACCAATGGCCAACTTATCAGATATTAAACTGATAAGAACAGAGGTATAGGAATGCAGTAATTAGTGTTGGGAGAGCCACCTCCAATATGGGTCCGACATTGTTTGAATCTGATTGGATTTTAAAAAAAAAACAAAATTCTCCCACCCTGCACCAAAAAAAAAAAGGATAAAACTTTCCAATCTCTACTTAACAGTAGTAGAAATTCCTCTGTAATAGTCGTGAGCAAAGCAGTAGATAGAAGCCATAAAGACAATCCTATATCATAACAAGTGTAAGGCCATAACTCTTGAAAATACGAACATTCCTCTCCAATGAAATTGTACTTGAGAACTGCATAAATTGCTCACTACCATGGAATGATAACCTCCTTTTATGCTGTATAGCATTAAATTGTTTAAATATATCTGCTGAAATTATAGTGTTATTTGGTGGAAAATGGGAGAAAAAAAGAGAAACTGAATAATAATGTTGATACGAGAGATGTGTTACAAGACACTAACATTAGTGTTTCTAGACCTCTTTTATGGCTACTGCTTGTTTTCTGATTTTTGTCTGCATTGCCAAAAATAAAAAATAAAAACAAGCTTTTAGGAAGGAAAAATCATTTTAGGGGTTCCATTTATTTCTAATAAAAGTTCAAGTATCAAATTACATTGTTGTTTCGTATATTTATCAAATCAGAGGTGGTTAATGCACGATGATATAACATGAAATTTGCAGGCTATGATGAAGGACCCTTTTGGAAATTATGTTGTGCAAAAGGTTCTTGAGACTTGCGATGATCGAAGTCTTGAGCTGATCCTTTCTCGCATCAAGGTTCACTTGAATGCCCTGAAGCGGTATACTTATGGCAAACATATAGTTTCTCGTGTGGAGAAGCTCATAACCACTGGAGGTAAGGAATGCAGGGACTTCTTCCTTGTATAAATTTCCATTGCTTGTCTGTGAATTGTTTATGAAGCATCTTGATTTCTCATTTGCAGAAAGGCGCATAGGGTTGTTGGCCTAACTTACTACATCCTCAGGCATGCTAATTGAGGTCTGGAGGACTAGTAGTCCTAATCCTGTCACAACATAAAGGTCTTTCTTTTGTACAGCTAACGTGAATGTTAATATTACCAAGTTTCCTCTGCAATCCTTGCCAATGTAAAGCATTGGAGATAAACAGTGTCAGCAGGGCTGGAATAAATTATTTTCCGCACTTTGCTTTGTTTCGTTACTATTACTGAACAGAAAATCTCCATAAGGAGAGTTAACTTAGGATGTCGAGATTAGAGTCATGGCAATGTGTATTTATTGTGTATGTATATGAGGTACATTGTCTGTAAAGAAAATAAAGGTAAATGAGTAATTGCAGTAACCAGAGTCAGAAGATCAGGCTCTAACTTTCTTTTCCTGTATGTAAATAATTTACTGCAAATTTATTGGGTTGATCTTATCTCTTTGTATTAGAATCTAATTGCTCCACAAAGGGAAAATAATTTAAATGAATTATACCAAAGAGAAGTATTTTGTGTTTGCACGGGTCGGTTTATTGCAGAGACTTTAATATGCAATGAAGGTTCACATGATACAATCACTTAATAGTACACATCCCAAAACAACTCCCCCGTTAAGAATACGTACTCAAGAAACACCTAAGTGGACGTTTGGTACAAGAGATTTTTTTTTGTCTAGGAATTATGATTAATGGGAATATGGTAGGAAAGTAAGTTTTCTAAGAATGTTATCAAAAAGTTGTTTGATAAGATAAAATATTACTAGAAATATTGGGTAAAGATTACTGATTTTATGTTTGGTTAATTGTGAAATGTTACTGGAAAAAGGGGTTATTTTATAAAAATAACCCTTTAGTATTTTTACTTTTGCACGATTTATTTCGTTTTTTATCTTAGCAGCTGTGTCAGTTAGGTTTGTGCGATTAGACAAATCAATCTCAACCATGATTGAGTAGTACAAAGTCAAGGAAGACAACCCCATGTGTGAAGAACGTCCTCGACCAAGAAAGGTTAATGGACCGTAAGAAAGAGTTCTATGCCAATGATACTGAATCTAACATGTCATCATCCACTCAAGGATATAGTGAGAAATCGAGGCGCGAGATTAAAGGGTAACGATGAAAGGTTCTTGAAAGGAACTCAAGGCGACGCGGCTTCAGTGCTATGGAGTGGTTGGACTCGAGTGAGTTGAAAGACTTGCAGACCTCAGAGAATGACTTTTTGGCTGCACGATATTTTTGTCTCGTAAGTTTGCTTCTTTTTTTCTTTGGTGTGAGATTTATAAAATACCACACTTTCAAAGGTAATTTGAAACAAGAATTTTGTGTGTAAATAAGAATACCAAGAAAGAAAGATCTCCAGGAAAATTTTTGGGTAACCTTGTACCAAACATGGCAATATAAGATTACCAATGTAACTTTCCAAGCAATCTAAAAAAATCTTTTGTACCGAACACCTCCTAAATGTATATTTGAGGGTAGTTTCTACTTGGTTTTAGATTCTGGGGTAACTTTAAAAAGTACCAACGGTACCCTACGAAAAAATATGCTATTATATTACTTCTGCTGAATTTGGTTATTTGTAATGATTTAAGATGGGTTTTTTTTTTCCTGCATCATCAACGAATTTTACATTCTTGCTCCCCTCCCCTTCCCTCCTTTTTTTTGGGTATTGGATGAATTCTAGATATCATCAGAATCCTTATTTTACCCCTTTCATTAAGAGGGACTGAACAATTAAGAATGAAGAAAACTACTGAGATATAGCCATTTTGTAGGGAAAGTTCCAAAAGTACTTACAGCTTTTGTTATTATGCCTTAAGATATGTGTTTGAATGGGATATATTTTTGTTCATAAAATGGGATATAGTTAAATATATATATATATATATATATATATATATATATATATATGAGAAATGTTATACTTATAATATATTTTCATTATAATCTCTTATAATCATATCTTAACTGTTGATTTCTGTCAATTAATGGTTATTATTTTCGTAAATCAAACTCATTAATTAATTATTAATTAATAATAAATATTAGCCTTTGGTTGAGGAAAATCAATAGTTAAAATATGGTTGTAAGAGATTATAAATAAAAATAGGTTCTAAGTATAACCTTTCTCTAATTCTATATTTAGCGTATAGAGCAACTGAATTCCCACATCGAAGATCAATGCAATTATAATTATAGTAGTAAATAACACCATTTTGGATTGACCGGTTTCATTGGTTTGGAATTGGTTCATGGTTTTTTGCCACCGGTCTAAAGAATGGTTCAAACATATGCCAATGTAAAAGAAAAAGTCTAGAAAGCTCATAAAAATAATTTTACTTTCTCAGCTTGGGTTTGTTTTCTACATGGTAATTGGTTCAAATATATGCTAATAAAAAGAGAACTTTAAGGAATTTATATTCATATAAAATAAATGAGAAAGGATATTCTTACAACCTATTTTTGTTTACAACCTTTTACACTCACATCTTAATCGTTGATTTTCGTCAATCAAACGGTTGTTATTTATTGGGAATTAATAATTAATTAATAAGTTTGATTGACGAAAATAATAACCGTTGATTAGCGAAAATCAACGGTTAACATATGGTTGTAAAAGATTGTAAACAAAAATAGGTTGTAAGAATAACTTTTCTCAAAATACATAAGCAAACTCAATGTAGAATCGTGAAAAATAATTATGTTCTCTTAAAGACATCCTTTTACATGGTGAAGCACAGTCAGAAATAACGAATCCTTTTATGAAAAAAAAATTATTTTGCAAGTTCGTTATTACGGGTAGTTCCTACAAAGGATCGGACTAATGCCGTAGACAATACTTGAATTCTCCATGTAGACGCTACATATATATTCTATACCCCCTTATCCATGACACCCAACTGTTATTGTTTATGTCGAAATCTTTACCCTAAAAAAAAAAAAAAAAAGGAGCCCTGTCATGGATGAGATTTTTTTGTTAGTTGGATTCTCTTTTACACACGAAATAAATTGATGTCTTTTTTTTTTATTGGATTTGTATCTAATGGAATTAACGGGGCTCGAACCCGCAACTTCCACCTTGACAGGGCAGTACTCCCTCCAAATTACTTAAAACTAATAGTAGTAAATAAAAAAGTTAGAGGAATTAACGTCTTCCAAAAATAATAATAATAATAATAATAATATTTTCTCTTTAAGTAACCAAGGAAATTAATTAAGATATATAATTGTTCACGATGGAATAAAAACTTAGACTCATTTTTTAATGAACAAATCTTATGTAAATCCCATCTTTTGGTGTATATACATGTAAAACGTATGGATTTTACGATAACAAATTAAAAATAATACGTTCTTGTCATTCTCCTTCACTCACTCTGCCCAACCCTTTCTTTCATGTCTTTTTATGCTTCCCGATTATTTTTGGTGAGTAGTAGATGTACGATTCTTACAGAAACTTCACAAGAATGTAATATGGAAAAATAAAATAAAATAAAAAACAGCAAACTACAGAAGAAACTCGAACAAAACAAACGGAAACAGATGCTGCTTACTTTATGTAAAAATAGGAAACATAAAATATATACAAAAGAATAAATACTATACAAGGAAAAAATGTTTATATACAAAATAATGGAATCTGTTAGTGTTGGCAACAACACTAAACATTGAAAGGGATCGAGGTACCAACTCTGGCTTTTAGCACAGGCAGTATTTCAAAGGTATAAATATGCTCCTGCTGCAATAAAAGCTCAAATAGTCCTCACAAAGTTGATGCGTGAAATAGTTGCATCCATTGTGCACTGATCCTAGCCACCGAAATTCCACCATCTCTTCTTTTTCCTTACAGAGGATGAAGGCAATTCTGAATATGAAATGACAGAATACAATTAAATGAAGATACGTTAGCACTTAAAGATTGATGTAGCAATATGCATTTCTGAATGTGTGTGGATATAGCAATATGCAATGAGAGTACAATTAAATTCCTGCCCTTTTCTTATTATTATGTTTTTGGCCTTTTTAATTTATGTTTCCAAAAATTGAGGATTGTTCATAGAAATCAACTCTCAACAATAAAATACTGAGGAGATATCTTATGGAGTCAGTCACATAACGAGTCTGACGCAAACAATCCTCCTATTTTAAGACTACATCCATAGACAAATTGCAACAATTATTGCTAAATTACATAAAGCTGTAATAATAACCACCAAATGAATTCAAAATGCATGAAACAAACTAGAATGATCAAAATACTAAGAGAAGAAAATTTCAAATTTCTATCAACTGCGAATCAGTTAGATTTAAACCCATCTTTCTAGGTTCACCTTTGAAAATCAGATAGTGTATTCCCAAGACGAGGGGTAAAATTTACCATTTCAATTGTTTGCTAAAGACCTTTAGCTGAATTTTGTAAAATAGGATTCACAGCATTATATTTAGAAAATGATAATGCAAGAAATACTCTGAACCTTTCAGAGGACATAGTAAGAGACATAATGGAGCATTATCAAAATTAAACTGGAAGTGGAATTACATAAATCATAATATTGTACATTTAAGAGCTTCATCTTCTCATTCCCTGGGTTTCTATATTGTTTGTATTAAAGATAAAGATGTTACCTTCTTCTGGATAGATTGGGTTGTAATGCACCTCTGCCCAAAAGCTCAGAAATATCACTGCAGAAGTCATAAGGGTCATACACTTGCATGTGGCTGAAACAACTTAAAATACTATTGGTAAATGTCACTTAGATTATGCACCCCAATTGAGAAATTACTTTTCTATAGATATGATAAGCAAGATATTACCATTTATAAATATGCTCATTTCACACCTTAGTGTAACAAATAAAAAAAACTATGGGTACCTAAATAATCTTCCTGCTACCATCTATTCAGTAACATATCAAATCATTTTTGCAACCATATTTTAATTACTTTATCAAGTAGAACTTTTTAAATACAAATTACATCTGTTAAGAGTGTTAGTGTTAATAGTGTAGAAGTCCCACATTGAGTGTGTCTCTTTGTATTCTTCAATTGGTTTGCTATATAATAGCACCAATGTTGTGTAGTTTAATATAACAAGGATTACTATCATTTCCTCTTGTATCTATAATATTTAACATGGTATCAGAGCCTAACAAGAGGAATCTTAATCCGTTTAACTTAGTTCTATTTTCCATAATTTCAATATGGTTATAGAGAGACATCACCCTCCTTGAGGGATTCCCGTTGCTATTTCTTTTTCGGGTTTTTCTTAGTATGCTCTGTGACTGCAGCTTAGATTGATCTGTCACATCAGAAAAGAATGATCCTTGGGAAGTTGTTGGGTTGACCACCGTTGTCGTTGACTGACCACCGTTGACCGCGTCGTCCACCGTTGATAGCCGTCTCCGGCGACTTTTCCGATCACTTTCCGGCGACTTTTTCGGCGATCCACCACCGTCTCCGAGGACTTTTCCGACGACCCACCGCCGTCTCCGGCGACTTTTCCGATTCCGCGAAGCTTTGTTTTTCTTTAATTTTCTTTCTTCCCAAGATGGAGCATTTATACTATTCATCATCCATCTTGAGGGGGAGCAGTGTCCAAGTTGCTGATGTTGTCTCCGCTGATGATAATTCTGGCACTGTTTAGAAGTTCCTCTTAAGGGGGAGCACTGTCCATGTTGCTGATGGTCATTCCAACACAATTGTCTTTGCCGATGATAATTTCGGCACTGTTTAGAAGTTCCTCTTGAGGGGGAGCACTGTCCATGTTGCTGATGGTCATTCCAGCACAATTGTCTTTGCCGATGATAATTCCGGCACTGTTTAGAAGTTCCTCTTGAGGGGGAGCACTGTCCATGTTGCTGATGGTCATTCCAGCACAATTGTCTTTGCCGATGATAATTCCGGCACTGTTTAGAAGTTCCTCTTGAGGGGGAGCACTGTCCATGTTGCTGATGGTCATTCCAGCACAATTGTCTTTGCCGATGATAATTCCGGCACTGTTTAGAAGTTCCTCTTGAGGGGGAGCACTGTCCATGTTGCTGATGGTCATTCCAGCACAATTGTCTTTGCCGATGATAATTCCGGCACTGTTTAGAAGTTCCTCTTGAGGAGGAGCACTGTCCATGTTGCTGATGGTCATTCCAGCACAATTGTCTTTGCCGATGATAATTCTGGCACTGTTTAGAAGTTCCTCTTGAGGGGGAGCACTGCCCATGTTGCTGATGGTCATTCCAGCACAATTGTCTTTGCCGATGATAATTCTGGCACTGTTTAGAAGTTCCTCTTGAGGGGGAGCACCGTCCATGTTGCTGATGGTCATTCCAGCGCAATTGTCTTTGCCGATGATCATTCCGGCATCTTCCATGTTGATGTTCATTTCGACGCCATTTTTAGCACATTGTTGATTTTTGGTTTCTCATTTAGGAGATTTATTTTGATGTTATGTTACTTGGTCTTTCTTGTAATAAGCTTGTAGCATAGTCAAGGGTAAACCACGGCTTCTCACCAACTGTTAAATGAAATGTCTGAGAGGGATCTTGATGCTGATGTCCTGGTCAGCTCAGTTGTCTTTGCCGATGATAATTCCGGCACCATCCATGCTCTGATGTCCATTCCAGCACTGTCTCTTTATCAGCTCTTCAGACTGATGATCATTCCAGTTGATTTGTTATACTTGGTCATTTCATTTCGTTGATGTAGCATTGTTGTTTTTGGTTCCTAATGGGAGTATTATTTATGTATCAAGCTTGTAGCATATGATCTATATGCTACAGCTTGAGGGGGAGTGTTAAGAGTGTTAGTGTTAATAGTGTAGAAGTCCCACATTGAGTGTGTCTCTTTGTATTCTTCAATTGGTTTGCTATATAATAGCACCAATGTTGTGTAGTTTAATATAACAAGGATTACTATCATTTCCTCTTGTATCTATAATATTTAACAACATCAACAAAAATATTGTCCATCATTCTCTCTCTCTCTTCCCCCCTTCTATTAGCCTGACAGCTATATTCCTTCTATATGACAATGTACACATCGGTTTTGATTTATTAAAAACAGTGTCACCAAAACTACGATTGTTGGCCATTCACCATGATGAACATGTGTCCTTATATATAAAAATAACAAATACTAATAAAATCTTACCTCTTTCAGACTTCTGTATCTGTGGAAGTATCTCGATGTAACATGTGTCCTTAAAGGATGTAAGAACAAAAATTTTGACACCATACTGAAATGACATGAGAAATGCTGTTTAAATTCCACCCACAGGATAAGGATACTTAATTTATCCATAGCTCTTACAGAATAGAGGCAAATATCTTCCAAACAATAATATAACTTACAAATTTTACATTAACAAATCCTGTAATTAAATTGCACTTTTGTGACTGTCACGGGTTCGAATCCGAGAAAAATCCTCTTTGCAAATATATAACGATAAAGCTACGTACAAGAATTGCCCTCACCCCTATTCTCGCTGGTCGAGATTTAATGAGTGGTTTATTTTTTGAAAAAAAAATTCTATAAGTAAATATCATATTACCACTCCTAACTTATTTAAGCTAGCAGCATACAGCAGTTGTCGTTTAAAGCCCCAAATCATTTATCAAATAAAGATTATAATTCTAATCATTTAAACCTTGGATAAATCAGCAATTACGTTAACTAAGACATTAAACCATTTGAGCTTTAAAAGAAAAAGCATGCCAAAAAAATCACTGGACTCTTTTTGAACAATTAAGAAATCAATTTACAATTCAAAGCTCCAAAACACCTTCAGATGCAAATCAAGGGAATACGCATCCATGTGATCGGATTGGTAAAGATTTCAATTTTGAAATCCCAAATATATATGCACAATCATAGCCAACAAAAAAGAAAAGTATAATAGGGAAGGCAAAAATAAAATGAAAAATATTTATTTCCTCATACCCAATCTGCAGCAGCCTGCAACGTGACGTGATCACCCCATTCACCACTCCTAACACATCCACACAGAAAGCTATCAGCAAACAAGAGGACTTCAATAAAGCCATATCCTCAGAAATAACATAATATAACAACAGATAAAAACATACTTGCTCATTTTCTTCAAATAATCACTATAAGCCATAGGAACATAACCAGCATATACTTCTGGGTAAGACTTGAGCTGACAAAACACAGCAAAAAGCAATAAATATATCTGTAACAACTACTATAAGGTGGCACACCCAACAGGTAATACATAGTTACAAACACCAATGAACCTGTTGAACAATTTGCTCCCGCACAAATTTGTGGTGATCCGGAGAGCGATAGAGTTGATCTGACAAAGCACGAAACTGGAATAATACGAAAACGATAAGGCACTCATTTTTTATTGAAAAATAAAAACTATACGAAAATTTATGTTTAGTAATGCACTAATAGTTAGCAATGCTCATAAAAAAAATGAAAATGAAAATTCCTATTATATAACTGGAAATTTGTCAAATTGTCACTGAATCATAATATATAAAAAATATCAGTCATTACTCTGCTATTCTTCAAAAGGAACTAAATGGCTAAATTGCAATAGATAGACAAAACCAACATGAACATTTTAAGAAGATAACCTATATCATAACGTTAATAGAGAAAGGAATTTATATAAATACATGTTTGAATTTTTCATAGGAATGGGGCTGGTTAAGGTTTTCTTCCACAAGTACCATGTTGTTGTTTGTTGTTGGGCAGGTAGGATACTAAATTTGGGAGGTGCAAGGCAGGGTTAGGATCAGCAAAAACTCACCCCATTGCTAAGCCTACTTTCACAAGATAAGGACTATTAGAATTTAGAGAGAAAATCATGTAAAGCAATAGAAAGTTAGAGAGAAGATGAAAAAGAAGTTTCTGGAGCATTTGTGTTATTGCATGTAAGAAGATAAAAGAGTAAAGTTACATTAGGTTTGGTACACGCTCTTATTTTATAGAGCAAGAGGGTGACTCAGCAGTAGTCATCTTAAGCATCTAATAAAACTAATAAACTGAAAACAGTTATTTATTCTAACAACTAATGAGCAATGCACTACTGTACAGTGACATAATACACCACTAAACATAAAAAACAGTAAGGTTTACTAATAAGGGCAAACCCCGCACAAGGATGAAATAATCTTACAGTATAAAAATTGAAATAAATCTCGGAAATAATGCCCACTTACAAAGATAAAGGACAAACCTGGCAGTTACCATCTCCTTCAACCTTACACTCAATCAGATCATATAACTGCAGTCTGAAAAAGACCAAATTCTTAAAATTAGATGAACGATCAATAACAAAAAGACAAAGTTAAGATGTACATTGTATTATAACATACATGCAAAGAAGTGTAGGAAAAATAAAAAGGAGAAAGAACTACATAGAATAATCTTTCTTGTATTTGAATTATTTATATTCAATCTTGCTTGTCCAATATTCCTCTCTCTCACCCTTTCTTATTCCAAATGGATTGGATCAAAGGATAGAGAAGATTATGAAGGACTTCCTGTGGTCAGGAAGTGGGAGATCTGAAAAGAATCATCTTGTTAGTTGGGAATTGTGCTGCAGACCTTCAGTTGAAGGTGATATGGGGCTGGGAAATTTGGTTTCTAAAAATATTGCTTTGGAAGATAATATGGCAATTTCCTTTAGAAACTAAGTCATGAACACACCACGTTATTTAAATTATTCAGAAACTAACTCATTAAGGCACCAAGTGCACTGGATGGGATCCCTCTACTCGGAGGCACAGGGTGATTTATGGCTGTTCGCTAGAGATACAGTATACTTGAGTTATTATGAGCCCTAGGTGTGTCCCTCCACTCTGACGCTCTGCTCAATGCTTTAAGGGAGCAACCATCTCTAATATGCAAAGGGATTGGACAACATTGCTATGTTCCTAATTTTCCTTTTCCTTTGTTTTTTTTTCCAACTTCAAGTCCATTGGGCTTTTGTGTGAGGACGCGTGTTAAAGAAGTACGATAAAACAACTTAAAAATTTTGGTTGAATTGACACTTTACAATATATAATTGCAGTATTTAACTTTTATATAGGAGACTACTCAAACCAACAGAAATAAAACATAAAATAAACCAAACCTGTCTAGTAGCCTTTGATGATCTGATATTTGCTCATCATCAGATGGTATTTTTTCATTGGTTTTAGGAATATGCTGTAAACACAAACAAGAGAAATAAGTGTGTAAATTATCATCCAAGTTAGAATACCACATCTAAACTGTAACATTAATAATATATCACTTAAGTCTTGCGTATATAAATCAGAATTATAGAGCTACATTTTTATATACAGTGTATATAGTGTGGTACATAATTATTTCTAAATTGAACCTTGTTTCTCACGATTAAGGTACTACTTAGAATCAATCTAGTTCCTGCAAATACCGTGGGTTAAAAATTCATAACATGCAAGAATTTTGTACTTGAAATGTATAAGAAATCATCCAAAGAAGAGACACTCCAAATGGCAAATAATACAATAGGTAATTATAGTAAAAGATGAAATATGATGACTTTAACACAAAAGTGAGTAGCTTCACTAATGCTACACTTACAGGAATGGGAACCATCTGATTTAATCTTTTTCCTACTTCACCATCAAGAGAAGACTCATCTGATATTTCCAATGAACGCCACAAGTCATCACCGGTAACTGGCATCTCTCCTGACCCAGAAGACGAACCGAAAACTCCAATTTCATGACCATCATCTTCCCTTTCACTTGGACCATAATTATCCGCTTCTTTCATATTGTATGGCTCATCTACGGAGTTCTTGCAAGACTCACTGTCTACATGTTGTTGACAATCTATCATGACAAGTTTTATAAAATACATAATGAAAAAAGATATCTAATAGAGAACTGCAACTGCCAAGTTGTACTACCGTAGTTATAGTTTCCATTGGAAGAAGAGTGCCAATCTTGCGATAAAATGGATGCTCGTTCTTGCTCGTTCTCAAATTTAGACATCCCAGAAGCTTCAATGGAATCAAGTTGTGATAACTCTTCTTGATAGGCTCGTGCAACAGCCTCATCATTCTCCACATATGTAGGCTGACAGAAGCCTTCTCTAACATATTCGACTTGACTTAAATCTGGATCATATCGAGTTATGACACTAGGCGAAACATTATGGGTAAATGAGCAACCATCTAGGAGATGAAGACCCCAGCGAACAACATCAGGATCCATGTCATGTGTTGCCATGTCCCTGCAAAACACATGCAATTCTATCTACTCCAGAAACTAACTTGCCTTGTGTATATGCCCCAAAAGAATTCAACTGCTGAAAAAGAACAAAATTTGATAGTCAAACTAAATAGGATGCAATGCTTTCAAACGTGTCAGCAGAGTGATATATCTATATATATATATATATAAACCTAGTTCACAATGAAAATATTGAAAAGCATTAGACATCAATCAACAAATTCATCATAAACAATCTCAGATCAAAAGCTTCACATCAGCCCAGTTCTCTATGTACAACAGAAAACCCTAAAAGGATACGTCCTCAAATTTTTCAATCGAACCTAGAAACACAATAAAGATAAAAGTGGAAAATCATCCACCTTTAGCCCAATACAATGCTCGTTCAACATGCAATTAAAAAGCTAAAAATTGAAATTGCATCGATGAACACACAATAAAGAACCCTTGATTCCCACTCCCAAAGCATCAACCTTTCAACATGCCAACCAATAATCATTAAAAGAAAAACCTGAACCCATATCCTGACACAAAATTCCCGAACAGAAAAAATCGAAGAAAATTATTTTTAAAATTGTAAAAAGAAAGAAAGAAAGAAGGGAAAGAAAGAGACGAACCTTGGTGAAAAACTGATGAATAAGCAAAGAAGAATGCAAAAATCGGAGGGAAGATGGAAAAGGAAAAGAGCGTTGTTGAATGTTGAAGAAAACGAGAAACAAAGAATAACCAAACTGCAAAAAAAAAAAAAAAAAAAAAAAAAAAAAAAAAAAAAAAAAAAAAAAAGTGAAATCTGAAAAGAGAAATAAATAAATAAATAAAGAGTAAGTATATGACTTACTACCTATCTAATCACTATTAAATTTACATTTTCTCTCTCTTTAAAAACTTCTTAACATTCTCTCTCTTTGATCAAATAGTTATGTGATAAGTAATAAGTTAGTAGTGAGAGTTTTTAGTAGTTAGAATATCTTTACTCGTAAATAAATAATATTGTTATATATGTAGAAGGGTGCAAAAACGGCGCGCTTTTTACTAGGTTTCTTTTCTTGTTATTCGGCTAATTAATAGGTTTTTTTTCATGTTATTCGGCGACCTTCAATCTTCACTCATTATTTCGTGTCTCACAAAATTAGATTAAATTACGAGCATGCACGTCTTAAATTTGATGTTAACGTTTTTGCGAGAATGCAATGATGCATTCAATTGTGTTCTCTGGTCTCTATTCATAATAATATCTGATATGATTATGTTTCATAAATATTTGATATTAAAATCTTAAATAATTTATAATAATAAAAAACTTGTACATTACATTAGTATTTTTAAATTCATATAAAATTGATTACCAAAAAAAAACTATTCATCTAAATTTTAAGGCTTTTAGAAAAAGGATAGGATATTGTTACTACCAACGTCACTATAATATCTTAATTGTTAATTTCTGTTAATTAACGGTTATTATTTATGCGAATTACTAAATAATTAATTAATGAATTTGACTTTTAAAAAATGATAACCGATGATTGACGGAAATCAACTGTTAAGATGTGATAGTAATATTATTTGGTAGTAATAATATCATATCCCATTAGAAAAATAAGAATAACTATATTAAATAGAATTTAAAAATTATAAAAAAATGAAATCTTTTTTATACCAAAAAAAATAAAAATCTTGAAATTATAAAAAAAGTATATATAATTAATGCAAAAAATATACATTTAAAATTTAATTACATTTTAAAATAATATAAATAGAAAGGGTAAAATCAAAAAAAAAATTATACAAAAATCCACTTATAAAGTATAGTAAGTCTTAAATTTAATATTAATTATTGATCCAATTGTATTTAATAAATCAAATTTATTCATCATGTGTAACTCGTTAAATATAAATAAAATTAAAAATTGAGAATGTAACTCATCCAATTTACAATGATTATCCCTCAAATAAAAAATAATACATTTTGGTCCGCCCTAATATTAGAAGTAGCACATTCTTTAAGAAATAATAACGAGTGATAAATAGATTACCAAAAAAAATAATAACGAGTGGTAAATTATTCTCAATAACATATATCCTAATTTAATATAAAACAATGAATTAATTTTGTTCATAAATTTTTATTAGATGGATGTTATACTAGCAACTTCTTATAATAACTCTTTCCATCAGTTATTAAATAATATAAAAAATGAGCTGATTTTGATCTAACCGATAATGAAATGATTATTAAAAATAAATTATAAGTATAATCTACCCTTTTCTATTATTATTATATTATAAAAAATTCATAATTTTGAAATTAGATATAACAGTGGTCAAAAGAAAAATAAAATTAGGCGATTTTTTCCCCATTCCCAAACAAGTTATGTGATTTTTTTTATTTTATTTGAAAAAAAAGCATATTTAATCAAACTGCATGTGAAGTATGCTTAACTTAAACTGTTATTTTTTGTAACCTATTCAAACTGTGTTTTTTTTTTACTCTAATTCACTTGCAAAGGCGCGAAAAGGATTTGGGCATGGCGAATACATGGAGAGGTCACATTTTTTTGGGTACAATAATAGAATATAAAATAGTGCACAACAGTGTAATATCAAATGTGGGGTTTGAATGGCCCCTAAAAATTAAATTTTTTACGTCAGAAAACTCTACTCTATAGAATATCAAACCTGGCATATGAATGGCCCCTAATTATTTTGGACTTTCTGTACATGATTTTAGAACGTCACTCACAACTTAATTTTTTTTATTTGGTGGGCTAATTTATGGGTTATCCCTTAGCCCACACGAGTTAGGCTACAACAAAGATTTTGATGGCCCATTTGACAAGTCAGTTTTTCCTCTCTAGCCCTGAAAGTTTAAACCTTATTCATCACTTCAGTTAACATGATAGTGTACAGATTTATTCATATTTGATACATCGAATTTTGACTTTTTGAGCAGTTACTAAACCCCATATATAGCCTTATTTTTCATATCAATCATTGATCTTTGTACATCTATCAGCCGTAATTTATTAAATTATATTTATCAATTAATTATTAATTTCTAATAAATTACAAATGTCATATGCATAAAAATTAAAGACTCAGACTTCACCAAAAAAAAATCAAGATAAAAAATAAAGTTTTATCAGAGTGAAAAAAGCCCTCATATATATATATATTATTTTTCATCTCAACAGTTAATTTATATTATTATAGTGATTGTAGTTTATTGAATTATTAGCCAATTATTAATTTCAAATAAATCACAATGTTGGCTTTTTGCCCCTCATTAATTAATTAATAACCAATTTACCTCTCCCCCATAACTATCCACCATCCTGCCCTCATTTAGTCGATCAACTTGCACTTTTAAACGACTAAATTGTTAAAATTCAGAAAACATGAATCACGAAATTTAATCGACTACATCCTCAATTTGATCGATTAAATTTCGTGCACTTTTAATCGACTAAGGCTATTATGTAGTCGATTAAATTTCGCAGAAAACCCTATATCCAGCCCTCTCTCGGTCTCATTTGTAATATTTTCGTTTTGTACCCTCTCTATCTCTTGTCTGTCAGTTGTGATCCTTCCAATCACGATTACATTTCATCCCACCATCTCTAAAGCATATAGTCATTGTGAAATCATTGGCATTTCCCTTATTTTCTCATTTGTTGCCCCCAAATCCCTAAAATTCGATTCCTACCCCCAAATTCGTGTGAAAGATGAGTTCAAGTCCAAACATGTATGCTACAATGATCTACTATGATGGAAAGCATTATGAAGGCCCCAATGGTGTTTAATTTGAAGAAAAAATGAAAATGTTGAAAATCAAACGGAGCACTACGTACAATGAGCTGAAAGGGAGGATTCACTAAAAATTGGGGCTACAAGGCAGCCATTGCGTTCAACGGATGATCGCCAGGGTAGAGTCTACAGTTGGTAAGGATGCTATATTCTACATTGGTAATGATATATATGACGATGAAAATGTGGAATATGTCATAGATGCAATTGTGGACCGAAAATTTCAAAATTTTAGTGAGATATATGTTGAAATAGACTGTGGTAAATCTTCATCTGCACCCATGCATGAAAGAAGTCAGAGTCAAGAAGACAGAGTGGTCGGTTTATCTGCACCTGCACCTGTCTTAAGTCAGATAACACTGAGGGAAATAGACGAGGATGAGGATGAGCACGAGGAGGATATGGACAGTGATGACGACGGTGAACCCGAGAGTGTTATTCCGCAGGGTGATACCTCAGATACGGACGTAGAGGGAAATTTTGACGCTGACACAAGTTCAGGAAACCTGAGTTTCCAGGTTATGCCACCACTCTGTGTTGACCCTGTTAGAAGTGGTAAGATAGTAAATTAAAGTTTTTAAATGAATATTTCATATTTGTGTTATCATTTGTACTGACGGAAAACTCCTGTAATTTGGACGTAGGTTCAGAGATTGAGCCGTTTTGGAACGAAAGCCCACATTATTCCTTCTTAATTGGGCTCACCCTAATGATGAGACGGAGATATTGTATGGCGACGATGACTTCCACCGTGGCTGGCAATTAGAGGATCCATTATATTTGTACTAGGAGTTTCGAAGTAAATCTAAAATGCAACATGCAGTCAAATTATATTGTAAGAAGGCTCATCGTACTGCTGTGGTGGCAAAAAGTGATGACCATAGATTTGTGATGAAGTGTTGACACCATAATGATGGTTGTCCCTGGTATGTGCGGGCTATGTTGCCCAAGAATGGAAATACCTGGGTTGTTAGTAAGTGAGGTAAAGAACACACCTGCCTAAACCAAGGCCTTACCCGGGACCATAGACAGCTGGATTATGATGTAATCTGTGCAGCCATTATAAGTATGTATTACGCGATGTTTGGTTACATTAGTTATGTTTATGTTATTTTTACGGTATATTTATTGATTGTGTTGACTTTGAATTTTTTATAGGTATGTTAAAAGAAGATCCATCTCTGAAACCAGTTCTTATTCAGGAGAGGGTACAACGTTTATATGGATACAACATATCTTACAGGAAGGCTTGGAAGGCTAAAATGAAGGCCATTGTGAAGTTGTTTGGCGACTGGGATAAATTATATGCCTTCTTGCCTGGTTGGCTGACATACATGACACAGGTTAATCCTGGTTCTGTTTTCAAGATTGATACGGATCAGTGTTGTGACAAACGTCGTGTCTACACCGATAAGGTTGTCTTTCGCAGGGTATTTTGGACTTTTCACCAGTGCACTGAGGCTTTCAAATATTGTAAACCTATAATCCAAATTGATGGCACACACCTGTACGGTAAATACAAAGGTACCCTTTTGATTGCTACGTCACAGGATGGTGATGGATACATTCTGCCTATTGTGTTTGCCATTGTTCCACCGGGTGAGAGATTGGATGATTGGTTGTGGTTTCTTAGCCTCATGTGTTTCCATGTCACACATAGGCATGATATATGTCTAATATCCGATCATCACCCCAGCATCATCAGGGCTGTGAAGGATCATGCCGGTTGGCAGCCTCCATTTGCGTATCACGTGTTTTGTCTTCGTCACATTGGAAGCAACTTTAACACTAAGTTTATGGATGTGGAACTGAAGAAAACGCTGATGAAACTAGGTATACAATTTCCTGAATGTGTACATGTTGTATGTAGTGCTGTTTATGTATAACTCATTCAATTTGGGTTCATTTTTTGCAGGTTACCTGAGTTCGAAGATTC